GTTTCATTTGTCCTTTCGTTCTCCAGCCACGAAGGCGCTGCTGTTGCGGCTGATGATTGTTTGGTATTAGTATGCTTTCAGTTACATCTCTGCCAGCATATTTGTATGAGAGCTCCGCAGTTCGCCAACTCGGCAAATACCAAACTAAGCAATGTGATGCTTCTGTCGACGTTGCGGTCGTTGCTTACTCGGTTTGCTCCACAACGGAAGCGGAAATAGCACATAGCAAGGTGAAGGGAGATGCATACTACGATTGAAAAAAGATGTATACATATGTATATACATATACGAACCAAAATAGATTTGGTGTAAGCGCAATGATGAAGCGGGAAATATGAATATGAAATATAAGAGAAATGGAAAAATGTGGAAGACTGAGTAAAATGGAAAATGAATTGATATTAAACACTTGCTAGAAGTCGTTAGTATTTTGAGGGTTGGAATAAGTTGAAATAGTTTGAAGTACTTGGATGGTAGACAAAATGATGCAACACACACATAAACACATATTTTACATTATAGAAAAGCGAGACGCAGGTGTTGTTTGTACTGCATTTATACCGTATGATATAAGGGAGATAATACTTTACTATTGGGAATTTTTTCTATTTTTTTAAAGTGATTTTTCTTATTGTAACAACGTAGAAATTCTCTGCAAAGCTACATATGTGAAATGCTGCTGGAGTCACTGTCATTGACCAGATATAAATTGACCCGGTGCATTTATGTAGATAGGTCCGACAGTTATGAAGTTATTTTCCACTTTCGGGAAAGTGAGATCAAAACAAAATAATCGCTGATTCTACTCGTCACACAGTTAAGGCTTCAAAGTTAATGTCTATCATTGTATTAGAAGCTGAAGCTATCAACTTGCGATCCCGTCAGTGGTTATCTGATGCTCAAGAACCGTGTTGCTTTGATAGGAGCGGATCATAAGGCTTCGGCTGTCAGGGATGGTCATGCAAAGAGGTAGTTAGTGTTGTTTGGGCCCTATTAGCATGATAGGCATGTGTTTGGCATCTCGAGATTTGGGCGCGAAAGGTAGCTGTTAAGACGGCCATACCAGCCCGATCTTAGTTGGAGGTTCAAAATTCCTCAGGGTTTTGGGGAATAATGCTAGAGTGGCAGTCCTTAGCCAGATATGAATCTGCGTTATTCCGGTTTAGTAAGCCCGACTGTCGTGGGAGCTGAAGGATGGTGTGGCTGCGATTGGGACGTTAAACCGGATTAAGCTCTTTTGTTATATCAATCAAAACTTTAGTTTTTGTTCCTGCGACAGTGGAGGTTGTACGTCCGCATAAATTACGTACATTCGCAGGTGGCGCTTCATTTCGAAGCAGAGGCGTCTTAGGGTGGTTCCAACGGTTGCATCTTAACTGTTCCGAATGCAATGTGTTGTAGTTTACTATGGGGATTATGGCACTGTCGACGTTTAGCTGGTTAGTCTGACGTTCATCGTACATGTTGCACTAGATTTGAAATTTGTAGGATACTGGAAGCTAAAAATCGTGCAAAGTCGAATTTCAGAAAAATCGCTGGACCTCAATAAACACCAGACTTTACATGACACGGCCAAATGATTCTTTGATGTTGTGACTATGACCTAGTACCGCCCGTCAGATCTTGCATGCTATATTAAAGAAAGTCGCTTTGTAATTCAGCTATCCTGAAAATCAACCATAGAATAATCTGGGAAGATGATATTGAGAAATAACTTACCAGACATAAATTTATTTAACTCATCACGTTATTACTCAAGCCCTACAAACTACCTACTGGTTATTGGCATTGCTCCGTTCTGAATGGGTACATAAACATACATACATATCGATGGTCCTGTGCTATAACGACACAAATCCAAATTCAAAAAATAAAAAATGTTACTACTATTAAGTGGCTTATGTCTTTACTCCATGTCGAACACATGTCTAATATTTTGTTTTTATTTTAGCAATCCTTACTGCTTACTTTAGTAAGGGATGGAAATGGATTAGACAAGGGTTAGGGACAAGAGCCACTTAACATTAGAAAGTTTTTTTTTTTTGAATTTTGAATTGTGTCGTTATTGCACAGGACCATCGGTATGTACATACCGTCAATGCATCCAGGCATCGAGATTTATGCATAAAAATCGTTAAATCGTTATTAAAACAACAGATTTGTAAAATAATTGCTAGAGAAAATACCGCATATCAAGGCAATGCCTTCAAAGAATAAACCGTTTTATCGTGCCGTATGATAGGCGGTTTTGTAATTGGGCGAAGGGCAGTTTTGTAATTGGGCTATGGGCGATTTTGCAAAAACATCGACGATATATGTACATATAATACTGGATGGTTCAATTGAATAACTTTATGAATAGCGACCTTAGTATTAACATATTTTTAAGTGAACAAAGTGTGGATTGTTGTTTTGAAGTCAAGCGTAAAAAGCATTTTAAACACGCAGCAAAACTTATTATAGACTATGAGCAAATGTATGTAGTATTTCTTGTACGTAAACACGCATTTTTACCGCAAACTCGTTAAATATGCAAATAATCCACAAACAGGCGATAACGTATGACCGCATTGGAGTTTGCAACACCCAAAGGGCTGTTGTTGATATGCCGCCATCAACACCAAAACCACCAGCTCCCAAGTATATTAAACTGTTGGTTAGGGCAACGCGTCACTTTGAAACTGAGTAGCCACATATTGACGTTGGTAAGCAATAAGTATACATTTTTGAACAATGAATAATATATGTATGTATGTATGCACATTGTTATGAAAATATTATCATTATATTCTTTAAAAAATTTTATTTCCTCAAACCGCTTACCAAAAGTCCCGGCTTCAACTATAGCTACAAAAAACGTATTGAAGGCAGGCAATTTAAGTGGATTTTTCAGCATCCACTTCGTTTGTGTGCCTGCCTTTAGGCCCCCCATATCTCTCATCCACCCATTACCTTGCCTAATTCAATTGAGTTTGCTCGCTCACTCGCTCTAGAGGATTGAGAGCGAACGGCTTACGAAAAAAAACATACACACAAAAAAGAGCAAACGAAGGCAGCGCAGGATGTCAACGTCGTCGTATAAGCAGAGCAGCTTTTACCGTTTTTGACACGGCGGCAATAGCGCACTGATTTGCGTTGACGCTTACGTTGCTATTCCAACAAACAATGCTGATCACTGTAGGGGGGTGCAGCAATAGCGCGATACGATGGAGCGCTGGCTCATGCAATTCTGCGAAGATGTGTGCAATGTGAAACTTACCAATGATTTGTAACGAATTTTGCACATCGGAACTTGCACTATTCACTGGTAACGACACTTCCTACCACTTTACTATTTCCCCAACTCGCTATTTCCCAACAACGTTTTGTTGCCAACTCTTTTTGCCAGCTTGGCTGTCACAAACCCTGAATATTTTAAACTATTTCGCACCAGCAATGCAGGCGGAAAAGCATTTCTACACCATAAAACTTAAACCAACTATTCACAAGAATATGGCAAACAAAATTTAAGTACAGAACAAACACCAAATAAGCTAAAGACAACCGAAGCGCCGACGTCGCCGTCGGTGTCGCACCAGCAAGGAAACAACAAAAAAGTAGTTGTGATGAAAAAATTTTTCACACAGGCCAAAATGGTGGTAAAACTATGTTTCTTCTTGCACAAACCACTCTGCAGATATGGCCACAAATAAATTAAACTTTTATGTGATAATTACACAAAATTTGTTCACTTTTGTGCTGTTTTTACCGCAGTAAAGTAATTTTTTCGAAATTTTCACTCCTTGCTGCCGTTTTTCGATTCGTCGCGACTCGTAGGATGATTTGTGACGCTGCCAGATGTTGACAACGTCGCATATTTACGCAAGCCAAAAATTAAGCGGCCGGAATTAAGGACTTTCGCTTATTTTTGTGGTAAATGACGAATAGTTGAATGCGACCTTTTAAAATATAGTGCATAGAATATTTAAAAAACGTTTATGAATTGAATAGTGAACGAAACTTACAAGTTTTCGCAATATTCGGCCTGAAAATAAAAACCGAGTAAGCTTTATAGTGGCATCCGCAACACTGAAAAACGCAGGGTTGCTATGTAAATGGCAATAAAGAAAAATTGGGAACACAAGTAGGGTGTTAAGAAAGAAACAAAAATTTAAGCAAATATATTGTTACGATTATCCTCGAAACCTTGAGGGATTTCCCAAATATACTCGGGCTCGTATCGCTGGATTGTTAAATAAAGGCTAACGATGACCGAATTGTAGTACAATTAACTTTATTGTACAACAAACAATTTACAATACTTGCTAATACAGTAAAAACACTTTACAATACTTGTTAAAGCAATAACAACGCTTTACTACTTGTTAACACAATTAAACTTATAGCTTGCTTATTCGCAACTCGATTCTCCGCTAACTTTACTTGTAGCTTGCTGACTTGTAACTCCGTAACTAACTCACCTCGTGGTGGCGGCGCCCTGCGCTGGCACTTATGGCAACTCTAGAACATTCTGAAGTTTATCGCTCATTCTCTTTCTC